TATAGAATAGGAAATGCAGTCACCAATACACCTTTTCCATCGAAAAAGACAGCTGTGCTAATGTGTATACGCTAAACATGCGTTTTTTACTGGCCTGGACAGCAGTGGGGAACTCCTATTTATAACTTAAATTGCAGTGCGAAAATGGCCTTCTCAAGCAGAAAATGGGTTTTGTGGAGAATCTCCATCCTCAGTCTCTTGAACAGTTGCACTTTTGCTTTGTTAAATTGTTTTCAGAGCGACCAAAAGCCCCCTTTTTGGGACTCACTACAGCAAACACAGTTTTCTCAGATGCACGACCGAACAGCATCATGGGATATGTTGATTCAAATCGACAGGGATGTCCAGCAATCCTGTTTTTATAGATATTTTATAAGTGCCAAGTCACTCGCACCTACCGGTAAAATATTGCACCGATTGCCTTGTTTGGATGTTAAAACTTGCCAAATTTACCTTGGTAGGGTCTGAAATCCGCTACAGAAAGACTTGGGATACGATATTTCTCTAACGACAACAATTCAAANTTTTTTTGATCTCTTGAATGTAAAAACGGCCCTAAATCGAGAAAACTGAGCTGGCATCAGAGGGTTAAAAGTTTATGGATCTTCATGGACAACGACGTGGACCATCTGGAAGCAGCCTAATTTTCTACCATGGCATGGAGAATAATTTTTTTCGTCCGTTTGAGCTATTAGCACTAGCAAATTTTTTTTCAAAAGCACTCGAACGACATTTAGAAAGAAATGCATAATAACAAAGATAAAATCYGACAAAATCACCCGTCAATATTTTCAAAATATGAGCAATTTATGTGAAGTCAAAAAAAGTTATCAGTTTTTCGAACATTTTGTAAAATTTTGAATCTATTAATCTATTGGGAAAAATTAAATTTAAAAAATTTATCGAGATCTAGTTTCTTTTCTTGTAATAATTGAATTTAATATGAAAAACTAGACGAACAAAACTTCAAGAAAAACAGTTCGTCAAAAATAGTATTTTTCAGAAAATATTTAAAAAATGAGCATTTTCAAAATTGACATAGTAGAAATGGCGAACTCGTGACAGGAAAATATAAAGGGACGTGACAATTCGAAAAAATTATGTAAATTGTGCCAATTTAAATCGCCAAAAATGTTAAAAATGAATGAAGACATCAAACTTTTCCAAAATATTTAACTTTAGAATGTCCTCGCGTGTACTGGAGACTTTTATTGCTATCAAGTCGGTTCTCATGCCGTCAACAGTCAAAACATCATGCTTTTTTTCGCATATTCACAGACATTTTCACAAATGTTTTTAAAAAAAAAAAAACGACTATCATCTTCTCTTCCTGAACTATACTATTTGCAAAACGTTTTCGTTAATGCTCTAAAGCGGAATTAAACAGCAACATTTACCTAAATTGTGACGAAACGCGTCACAGATTCAGTGGGTTATGCCAAACTCTTTGTATTAGCATTACCAGACAGATGATTCATATTTATACGTAGTTTGCTGAATCAACCATCAATAATTTTAAAACTTTATTCCAAGCTTTCGACCTAGGCGGTCATCTTCAGGGAACACAAAGACGTTACAAAAACAAAAACGCCATTCAAACTGAAATGAAACTGTTTTGTTTTTTTGCTTTTTTTTTTGCTTGAATTATTCATGGTTGATTCAGCAATTTACGTATAAATATGAAAAATACAACGAACAAAGATCTTTTAAAAAGATKATTTATTGTTCTTGCGCTTGATTCCGCGCTTGCCCATCTATTATTAATAAACGAACACTACTTTACGGGATGGAAAAGACTGAATTTATGTTATCTAGTCTCAAACTATCTGAAAATTAAGCATACATTTAATAAACAATAATTAATGTTCATCTTTGATAAAAAAAGTTACTATTTTGTCACTCAATGCGAGTTTTGATTGACATGTATTCGGGTGTRCTGTTGACAGGATTTAAATGACTGAGTTAACCAATCAGGTAATGACAACATACAACTGTAGGCGCTTCTCCCTCATATTCGCTATAAAATACACAACTTTATATCAAGATAGCATTCTCAGCAAATATCACGCGAGCATTGAGGTARGTGTGGATTGTTTCTTTTAAGTATATAATTAGTATAAATTTGTCCTACTTTTTCATAGCTCTGATACTTGAAATAAATTTAATAAGACTTATAGAAGTGATCATCTTTAGCATAAGTTATTTCAATTTTTAGTCTGTTTTCCTAACTTCATAAGAGTAAGATAAACATGATACTGCAATAGCCGATTTGTGAATTTCGCGTCAGTATTCAAACACCAAAGAATCACGGCRAGGTGCTGTRCATAAAGCTCAGTGAGTCGTTAAAAACTATTGTGTTTTCACGAATGAATGATCTTTATGCACGGCGCCTCGTCTTCATTCCTTTGTGTGTGACTACTGAGCCAAAACTGCCAAGCCGGCTATTATMMTAATATTTTCTTTGCAGAAAATGAAGTTGAACTGTATTATCTTGCTATCTCTGGTCTGTATGGCCAGYATTTGCGAAGGACGCACTATTGGTAAAAGAGAGTTCGCCGAGAGAGCAAGTTTGCCAGAACCAATMATGAACAAGAGAGAACCTAAGAGAGAGATCTCCCWYGACTTGAYAAAGGAAGATCCYGGACGAGACCCATGTCACCCAATGGTCCCATGTRGACCTGTTGGTTAACTGCAATAATTAGCAAGCTCAATCTTTAGAGACTGAGACATATTGCTGTAACTTGACATTTCTATAAGCTGATTTATGCTGCTGCAATAAAAGCATTAGTAATCACTTATGTTGGCAGAGTATTGTGTATAGCATATGATCTTATAAATAAGTAATAATAAGCCAATAAACCTACTAGTACGCCTCTCCCCACCCCTAACAATCTTCAAATACTCCATTTTCGAATTCAAACCAAAACACAGCTGTTTTGTTTGACAACAGATTCTCTAGCGCAAAGACCTTACCAAACACAAACGAGACCACAATAAATAGACCTAATCGGCTATGTACATTGCCACTCAATTCAGATCCTGTGGGAAAAATACCTTTTGTTTCTAAGAATTCAACTGTGAAATGAAAATGCAACGAGCAATGAAACTTACTCCCGGGTGGTTTAAATTGGATTGAAGCCGATTAGGTCTATTTTCCCTTTTACAATAGCATTAAAAATTTGAATTTTCTCCGATTTGAGATTAATCCTGTATTCCCAAAAGGCCTAAGGTTTTTAAAAGTCTTAAAAGACTTCTGGGAATACAGAATACAACTCGAAAAAGTATAAATTTATAGGGTTATTGTACTTACAACCTTTCTCGAGAATCTGTTTCTAAAATGCGGTTATTCTATGTGACGGCCCTGGTTTATCCTAACTCTGAACCACGTTAGGATTTTATCAGGCAAAATTGAATATCAGGTAATGTGTAAAATTTTGTCTGTCATTTTGGTTTCTTTGTTTCTATCTGCATTCCCTTCTATTTTTGCGAATTATTTCCAATGTCTAGTTTTCTAGATTTCCCTATATACTTATAAGCCCAAAGTCCAAAGTCCAAATTCCAAATTCCAAAAGAAAGTCCAGTCCATCTTTTAGCACATGCCTGGAGGGAATAGTAGATGTCGCGACACGTTGCTTAGCATGGCGGTCAATGAGACGCGAGGAAATTCTTTGGTGTTATCGTTTTTTGCAACTTTAAATGTTTATTCTCTTTTGTAAAGGTTGAAATTTTCTGTCAAATTAAATAAATTAAAATTAATAGCCAAGCTGTTTGTTACGTATATATCTTATATATAGATTCAATACGTCGGCATTGACTCTCAATCCAAAGTAAAAGTAGCACTTGTATTTCTCCGCCATTTGGCCCATTCTATCCAAGTACATACACACCGGTAGTACTTTATTTTATTCCTTGAGTTTAACATTAGAAACTATTGTTATTCAGTTTTCCATTTTTTCTCTCTAGTGTAGGTACGAAACTTTAAGGCTGAACGCAGCAAGAATCGAGCGTTATTCTAGCCATACACTGCTTTAAAAGCCATAAGAAGAGCGAGACAGAGAATTTTGTCTGTCTCGTAGTGCTGAACCAAACATTTATCTGGCTTGTTTCAATTTGTTGTTTATGGGTCCGAATCAGGCTATAATTTTGTGTAAACTATCAAGTGTTCAACGTGGCCAGCGTTAAATTCTCAGACCAGATTAATGCCCATAGACAGGCCTCAAATTCATGTCAAATTCATGTCGATCTAATCTGCGAACAGAAGATGCTGCTCGCATGGTAATTTAAAGTTGATGTCGTGTTTGTCTTTTTGATGCTCAAGGGGCCGCCTACTCAGAAAAGTAAAGTAAAGAAAGCGTTTCACTGCAATATTGAACAGTCTTTGTTTTTGATTCATACCGCATAAACTGTTAATCGATCCAAAAGCCTATTATTGATATGAAAAATAAAACTTCATATTTCAAAGACTTTGTCTGACAAGRCAGTGGGGCTCTATGGAAGCCCTGGAAACACCCCATGCACACGTCCCTGGACATACTTGGTTCACATGAAGAGAATACATGCATCAGTACTTTCGGAGAAAAATGCGTTCGGCATCTTAAAAAGTGAGAACCGAATTACTAAATTAGAACTTACACCTAATTACACAAACGCGTTGTCCAAGAAAAAAGAACTTTTACTATTTAGGAATTAATTAAAAAACAAAAGAAAATGTTCGGCTTCAGTGGTCATGCTTTGTYTTTTAATATATTCTTAATTTCCTAAATCCTTAAATCTCAGGACAACGTTTTCGTAATTAGGTGTATATTTATGAAAATTATATAAGGAATTAAAAGCTTCTCAGCTATTGTAAAGTTAATGTAATACAATAAAATAATAGATAAGCTGACWTAGAAACTTAGAAATGTGTTCTAAGGCACAACATAGTAATACACCTTTTCAGTTGCTCTTAGGCCTCGATAGCAAGTTAATTATTCTTCTGAATTGAGASTTTTCATATCAATGTKTGCATKGCTCACATTCCTACAAATTCAAAAGAATATTTAACATGTTGTCGAGGCCTAAGAGGCTCACTTTTCAAGATGGCGGACGCATTGTTCTCCGAAAGTACTGATGCATGTATACAAAATGAATTCTGCAGCGCCATTACATGAATCCAAATAATTAAAAAAATATTGCAGCGCATCTTTTATCCTAATTTGAGATTTGTATAGATTATATTATTTAAAAAACCGTGKTTTTCCTTTGTTTCAGAATACTTCAATCGGAAAATGGAGTCGTGTTTCTGCATGCATAAAAGTTAGTTAATTATCCTCATCTTCCCTAGTGGGAAAAAAGGTTGCGACTTGAAAATGGAATTTCTGCATGTATTAAAAGTTAAAAGTTAAAAAGCTGTACTTATTGTACAAAATAAAGAAATTTAAAGCATTAAATCTTGTTTTGAATTGTTTTGTAACTCATTGATACATTTATTTAAATATTCTCTTGTCCTGAATGAATAAAACAAGCATTTCCAACTTTCCGGCWCAACTAAAACAGAACATTGGCTATTATCCCAGCCTTTTTMCGCTTCAGCAGCACTCAACTTCTCTTTGTCAGGCCCGTAGGCTGGAAGGGGAGGACGCTCTCCCACCAAGACTAAAAATGTCCAGTATTTGTCTATTGCAATTGCTCTATTTTGAAATTATTTAGTACTTAATTTGTATTTTTCTATGAACTGCTCATTATAGCAGCCATTTCCTACACACTAGCAAGATCATTATAGAAGGGAAAAATTTACAATTAGAAAGAACATCATTTATTTTTCAAATGTAACACATTTCATTGCATTRATAAAACAACTAACTTTGCATCATTTGCATGCAATGTTGACGTAATATTTCAAGGTATACCATTGTACAAATTTGTTGAACACAACTTTTGCTCAACGAACCTAATAATAAATAGTGTCGACAGTTCAAAGAATTACCCAAGGAGGTAGTAAAAAATGCACAATACATTACTCTGCTTAGAAATAAATGCCAAAATGTGCGTTTGGAGAAATAGGGTCAGATAGTCAGGKAGATATCAAAATCCATAAGCAGCCATAAGGCTGAATTACGGACAAGACAATATAAACAATAAACGGAGTGTCTAAACGTCAGTCCCCTAATAAACGTCAGGCAGTCTAATTTTTTCTTAAGGCCGATTTAGACGACACAACGTTTGCTTACAACCATCGCATGCAACCTGCGTAAGTCATCCTTACGACATGGCTACAACTGTCGTAGGGATTTTAAACAATTGCTTAATAGCCTCAC